ACCTTTTTTTTTTTTTTTTTTTGCCTTCCCTATCTGTTTTTCCTTTTCCCGATATTAATTTCCACCTGTAGAAAATTCCCCAGGATTTAGAATTGTTTTTCAGCCAAACTGGAAGCCTTCTGTGTCCAGAGAGGAGACCTAGCTGCCTGTCTCCTCAAATTCACTGTAGGGGGATGACGCTGAAGAAGTTTTGGACTCTCCATCGCTGTTGCACTCCCGTGGGGAAGCCGGACCGGGAGTTCCTGGGCACTCCTTGCCACAGAGCGCTTCCTTACTGGCAGAGCCCAAGGGATGGCAGTCCAGCAAGCTCTGCAGGTGTTTGATGTAGCTTATTGCAGCTCTCAGGGTCTCCACTTTGCTGAGGCGCTTGTCAGCGAATTCCTTGGGCAGGTGCTCCCTCAGGCGCGTGTAGCCCTCGTTCACGCAGCGCACCCGCTGCCTCTCCCTCTCGTTCCTCTTCCGAATGAAGGCAGGCTCGAAGGAATAGTCATAGATGCCCATGTAGCCAGGAAATGGGATGTAGGAGATGCGACCTGTGTGCCCACTATAGGCTTGTTCCCAGTAAGATGGGTCCAGGGGGAAGGGAACCCCAAAGGGCTCTCTCAGGGGTAGCCCATGGGGGTGCATGGGGCTGTTAGCCAGGGACGCGGCTGTTGGAAATGCAATCCTCTTCAACAGTTTATCGTCTTTAGTGCTGTCCATGCTTCTTTTTTTCCTCACCAGTGGAGTGTTAGCTCCGGAATTTGGCTTCCAATGTATTACATTCCAATGTAATACATTCCAAAATGTATTAATCCAACATTTGTATAGGTACCCTGCCCCGCTGCAGCTTCCTCCTGCGGTGTATAAAAAGTCAGATCTCAAAGCAAGGCTAACAACTCACGAGGTCCACACTGTGCCTGGAAAGCCTTGTTGTGTTTATAGGTGTAGGATGCCAGTTAATGTACAGACAGGTTTTGAGGACCATCGCTCCACAATTTAAACCCTTCTTTTCCTGTGATCTTCATATTTCAAAAGATAATAAGAGGGTTCCTGTGTATTCCTTTTCTCTCCACTTGAAATTATGACCGTAATAGTTAATGCCAAACATAAATAATCTTCCAGGCTCTAAACACTTCTCATGTATTGTAATCCATGATATCATTTGATATAATTGTCTCCAAAAGATGGGTAATTTGCAAAGTTTACAGAGATCTTCAAAGTTTTGGCAGAACTCCTCACTTTCAGGAACCAAGGATCTTCTGTCATCTGAAAACTACCCAAAGGCTTTTCACAATGAAATCCAGAAGACAACTGCAAGCTTTGTTGTTTCGGCTGCTGTGGTCTAACTGAACCAGCTCACAAGCAGTTTGCAAAACTTATAGGGCATATCTGTAGCTTTCTGGGGAAGCTGAGACATCTTCAAAGCAAAGAGTGCTCTCTTGTGGTTGCAAGTCTTGTCAGATCAAGAATGTATGACGTCCATACGTAAGAGGAAAACTGCCTTCTTTGCCCTAAGAGAGGTTTTTCTCAAGAAGTGTGAGTTTCACAAATTGAACATGAGTGTTTTGGCATTTTCAAACAGTTTTCAACATTTTGTGTGCTTCTGCTCATTGTAGGAATGTTCTGGTCATCCCTATGGGAACTTGCCTCAGACAAACCAACAAAAAGGTGATGTCCTGATAGCCCCAGGTGAAGCTATTAACAGATGTTTACACGGGTATTGGCTTACCTCACGGACCCTACACACTGCTTTAATGGGAGAGATGAAAGTCCCTCTTGGCCGTGCCTGGTCTGTGCTGTCCTCCAGTTTTACCTGCAGCTTGCCAAAGCAAAGAGGTGAACAAAAGACATAAACTTTATACTTTTGGCAGTATAAAGCCCTAATGTCCTTGTCTGTGCCTTTCTTCTGAAAGGCACAGACCTAACCTAACCATACACCACCCTGCTGTGTTAGGATCTTCCTCTGCAGCAACTTGACTGTCTTTGACTTTTCCCATGTTGTTGTTCAAGAGCTCTGTAGTTACAGATTTTTGCTGAAAACACATACAGTTAACTGAGTCTCCTTTTTTTGCCATCATCATTTTGGGGAATCGAATGTTTGTCTGGGAGAGCTGTGGGAAGGGACAGACATGAAAAGGTACAGGTGCGTAGGCTCTATTAAAATTGTTCTTTTGCTCAAAGTGGAAGTTTCCACCCTGTTCAGTGTTTTGTACGAAACTGCCTCAGGAGTGTCAGTAACTGAAACAACATTCTCCACTCTGTGAAACACATCTGTGCCTCTGCTGAGCTAGAAACTAGCAGCAATGATGTGAGCAGCACACACTTTTGAGTCAGCCTTTTGTGTCTCTGCTGGCCTATTCTGCAGCTTCAAAAAAACAGTGGTAATCTTCAAATGTACAGTGAACGTACAGGCAGACATGAGTGAGGACAGTCCTGGACTCTGGCTTATGTCAGGGGTGGAATCAGCACCAAAATGGCTCAAAAGCCTGAGCAAAAATTAATGGGGAATGCCTCAGGGTATGTACTGCTCATTTCAGATCAAATAAGTGAGAGTCTTTCTGCCTTTTAAAAAAATCTTTGGAAACAGTTGATCAGGATGGACTTTTCAATATTACTTGAACTCTAAACTTTGTTGTCCAGAAACGTTGTCAGAAATGAATACTTTAAGGAAAATAGCTCCTCCACTATAGCACTAGGCTAGGCCAGGACTTACAGTTTTCTTAAAACAAAGAGGATGTTGACCTCTAAGCAAATACCTGAAGCAGGCAAAGGCCATTTGATCTGTGTTATCATTAGATTTCAAACACTGCTCTCTGGCAGAATTCCTGTAAGGAAATGGCAGTATGCCTCTTGGGGGGCTCAGCTGCCAGATCATTTCACAGCTCTCCATGACCTTGCCAGCAGCCTGGCCATGTTCAAAAGGCAGGGTTACATTTCAGTTCTGTCATGCAAATGCACTGTGCCCTCCTACCAGACCTCTTTTCTATGTTTACTGTAAATGCAGGCCACCAGCACTTCCCAGAGTGTCAGAATTGCACCTGTGCTAAAGACATCTTCTCTTCTGACAGAAAAATCCACTTGCTAATCCTTTAGAGAAATACATGAAGAAAAATTATGGGTAAATGTTAATTGTTGACCTGAATTATTGAAGCTGATCTCATATCAAACGGACTCTGAATTTGTTTGTGTACAAGAGAAATGAGAAAATATGCCACAGGCTTTTGATGAATGTGGTATCTTGTTGACAATCTAATGTCACTTGCTGGGAAAGGGATTTGCCCCTGGGCAGAGAACCAGAGCAAGGCCAACACATCTTACATCCCACTGCAGGTCCTTGTTGAGAGCGTGAGCAGGATTAAAGCAATTTACAGTTCCTGTACCGATTTCTGCACAAAGTCTCAACATGTCTGCACATGCAGACACAGTGAAAGTAGCAGGACTGGACCACCAAAGGGAAAGGCTAATACACATTCTTTTCAATTTTAAGAGTAGGTTAAGACTACATGAATAATGTTCCTCTTTTAAGATAAGCCTTTGATCTTCTTTCTAACACTGTTTCTCCAATTAAGTCCTCTTCACACCTTCGTCTGGATGATGCTTTGTCTCCAGAATGCAGAATCTGCCATGCTGATACAAAGCAGGTGACCTGGTTTGCTTTCCAGGCAGTACAAATCAGGTGTTCCCTGCTCTACAATGGCAGAGCTTGTGCTCTTTATACACATATTGTATGTTTAGCTTTTGTTTAGGTTTTTGGGTTTTGGCTTCATTGTTGTTTTGTTTTGTTTGTAAATACAAAGTCTAAATGGGGATGCTGGGAGATTCCTTACACACTCCATCATCTATGCTATTCAAACAGGTTCTCTTCCTTTTCTTATACTTCACTATAAGCACTTAATTGGCCAGCCAAAACAAATAGAAAATACTCTTGACATATCTAAAAATAAAACATTTAGGCATCTTCCTTCCAGACACAATTTAGTTGTGGTTTTAATTGCATATATCCTAACACAATATCTAAAAGTATGTAATTTTTGTACAAAAGAAGCCTCGACATGTTCCCACTCCCACACGAACCATAACCATGAATAACACTACTGACATTACACAGTGATTAGAATTACTTTGAATTATTCAAAGAAACAGTTCCTCCTTGACCCTATGTCCCTCTGTGTATGAAAAGAAAGTCTTTGGTGGAAATACTGTAGTAGAAACACAAGAATCAGCTGAACACATGCAAGTCCACTGACTTCCCAACAGATGTCCTAGCTGTTTTATCTGTGAACATGTTACTGAGAAGGAAGAAGAAAATACACCGGGAATTTAAGGAGAAAAAACTGTGCATTTCTTATATTGAAACTCTCATAATATTGTGCATTTCTTATATTTTACTGTGCTGTCAAATTCTAGGATCTATTATACATATCATAGGTTGTCTAGGCTGCTGCAATTTATTAACAGATACAAAAATATGTAATTAACAGATTCTCTTGTTAACTGCTCTCACAGAATTACAGTAATAACTTTGCTTGAGACTGAGGTGTAGGAATACAGGATTAAGTAGGTTTGTGTCTGTTATGTCCTGTTTTACCCTTAAGCATGGGTCATTTCTTTCCAACCCTAAACCTAGAAGTGAAAGCTGCACATAGACTACCTAGGCTTCATACTGTGACTATCACCAAAATTGTCACAGTAGTCACTGGCCTGCAAAGTGCTGACAAGCCAATGAAAGGTGATGAGAAATTTTTATTTTTTTATGGTAAAATGGCTTTTTGCATAATTTTCATTCCGATGTTACTCTGGTGTGAGAAAGAACCCAAGGGCAGGTTTGCAGTAACAGAAGAGAACTAATTGTGCCAAGACATGGGCATGGTCCAGAAGGGACTTTGGCTCACACTGCAGGGAAGGACTGAAGCATGTTCACTGTATCTCCTTCCCCTGTGGCTTCAGTCTCTCTCATCTTTCTGTATGTCTCCAGCATCTGAACACAACTTGAAAAATAGCTGAGCAATTTGTTTCTCATGCAGCAAGTACCTCTATAAATGTCAATAAACCAGGCTTTCAGGAGACATGGTGCAGTTGTCTTATCAAAACACTTCACACATGATAAAAGCATTTGGTATATAAAAAAAATATCTTTCCTTGCAGAAGAAACAGTTCCCAAATGTGTTTTATCACAATACCTTGGGCATGCAGTATACATCTCTGTAGACAGAGATTAATTTCTCATTCAGTGACACTTCATATTATCACTGGCTTCCTTTGATACTTCTGCTTTAAACTGGTAGTTAAGATATCACTAGTTCAAGGGAGTAAAGTGACTACAAAAAAAGCTGGAATCTCAGAGGACTCATGCTTGACAGTAAGAAAAAATACTCTTATCTATGTATGGCTACATCCAATCTAGCTCATAGGCTCGAAGTATTACTTTCAGCTCAGATAGTTGAAATAGCACAAAGATTTCAGTGCCACGACACCTCTACTGTAGAATTGCAGTATCATAATTGGAATTAAGACAAACTGAGGGCTTGGGATAACCTAGCATTTCAGGACAGAACTGAGACGTATTGACTGTGAAGTTTTAAGGATGAGAACTGAAAATGGAAGGTCTCCTGTTATCTCCTATTAGGAAATGCGAAGTGACGAGAGAGACTTTTGGGCTTGTAGTCATTCACTGTAGGTTCTAAGAAAGATGTGAAGTATTATCACCAACATGTGAATAT